AAATCAGCAACCGAAGCCCAAGTGCGACCTCTGCTGCCCCTGAACCCTTGTCTTTTCTATATTTTCCGCTTATCTGCGTGACAACTGCATTTCAATTCATAACAATTAAGTTGAACAAAAAAATAAAAATAAAAACTGAAAAAGAAACTATTCTAATCGGTTGACAGGGTTAACGGGGTTAAGCCATGTTTTTGTGGGTTTCCTCCCCAAAAGAAAAATAAATAAATAATACAGAAAACAAAATCATGTGTGATTTAAGAGGGACACTTGCCACCTTATCGTGCCACATTTGCCGCGATGACAGGCGAACAAAATCTAATCACTGAAAGTCGATACGGAGCAAGGAGATTTTTCCAATTGGGGTTCTTTATGGGAATAGTTCCTAAGGAAGGGGGTTTTTGATGAAAAAATACCAGAGGCACTTGAGATGCCTAAAATAGGAGTGATAAATAGGAGTGTATTTATAAAAACAAGAGAGACTGGAGTTATTTTTATTTACTAGATATTGATAATAATTGATTCTTATTGTCTTTCAATATAAAACATACATGAATTGTATTTATAGTCTATAAATTATAAATTGTATAAAGCAGCTGAATCTTTTCTTATAACGTGAAACCTATGATCTATATTTTTAAAATAATTTTATTTAAAGAGTTTACAAATTATAATCCTTAAATAAAATTGTAACCTTTCTAACCGAGTCAAGCCTATTTTCTATTGATAATAATCGATTATCGATAAATATTTCTTAATCTATAACCCCCTAGTTCTAAAAGAGCATTTCAAATTCGTTTAGATTCGCTTGTTAAACGCTCCCTCTTTAAAATGAAGCGATCAAATTGTAATTGCAACCGATTCCTCGCCAAATTTGATTTATTTTTCAGGGTCAAGGCATCGTCGTCTATCGATATGAATATAAAAATATGAAAAAAGAGCGATAGTTTTTCCCAGACAACCTGCTGCATCTTGGCAGAGTTTGTGTGTGTATTTAGAGCCCTGGGATCTTAATGACATGGCCATCCATTTCGGGCCAAAACGAGACTCTCGAGTGGGCGTTACCACTAACTGACAGACTAAAACAAACGGGCAGCCTGTTTACGAGGACTTGGGGCCGTGGTTATGCCTTCATAAATTGTTTTATTATTATATAGAGTTGATATATGGCCCAGCCACTTGGTCAGTCAGTCTGGGCTCAGACCCAGTCCGTAGTCCGAAGTCCTTAGTCCCATTCGCAGTCCCGGTCCTGTCCTGTCCTGTCAGTTTATTGGTTTAACTAATTTGCCCCGATCCTTACCTTGTGTGTTTCTGTGTGGGTAATTAAGGTTTATGATGCAGCTGCCTCTGGGCCTCGGCCTGCGTATGGGTATGGGTATGGGTATGGGCCTGGTCCCTAGTACCTTTCGATGATCCTCTTACACAATACACAAATTTGTCAAATATCCACAAGATTGATCTCCTCCGTCCTGGCCGATAATTTTTTGTGCAACAATTTGCATGCAATTGTCATTCAATAAAATTCAAATTAAATGCAATGCAAAAGCGTTGAATGAAAATAAATAAATCAACTGCCCCGGAGACAGATGTTCTAGGCAGGCAAATGATGTAAGAATGATGTTATGCACCCTTTTCGGCCAATGTGTTGACAAAACTTGGCCAAGAGACATTCAAGAAACTCGACAACAATTTTGTTGTCACAAAGCCAAACTGTCAACGAGTCGAGTCCCCGGTTCCCGGTCCCTGGTCCTCGGTCCCCAACCCCTATTATATCCTCACCGATCTTAACAATTTTCTTTAGCAAAGTTCGGCAGGTGCTACCTTAATCCCCGCTCCACTGTCTTGTTGACAAAAAAAAAAACATAAAACGAAAACGAATGCGTTTTGCAGGCCAACCTCTTGTTGGTTTTTCTCCTTCTGTTTGCCTGCAGCTTCATTTCTTGGTTTTTTGTGTTTTTTTGGGCGGCTGTTTGATTGACTATCAGATAATGTATTGACGCTTCTAAGACAGATCGACCCCTCACCTGGCCCGATCTGGAAACAGGTGCGTTAATAGACGCCGTTTAGGCAGGGCAGGGTCCGAGACCCCAAAGAGATATGGCAAGCACAGGACATTGCCAGGACATCGAGGACACCGAGGACACTTGGCAAACAGATGCCACCACCTGGCATTGCTAATCGATTACATGGGTAGCCAAGATTTAGATAAGTAGAGTGCCCACTGTACTCGCCGCCGGTGGCGACTTCAACTTGATGAATGACTCAATTGGGGGATGGCTTCTTCAGCAGTACTTCCTTAAAGAGATAAGGGTTTTAAAAATATTTTAAATAGATAATAGTATTAAAATAAAATAATAAGGAGTCAGGAATAATAAAGTCTTAAGGATTCTCTAGTCTCAGATCTTAAAAGCCTTTAATCATAAACTATAAATACCCGGTACTTGCAGAGTATAAATGGGAACAAGCCAAAAGCAATTACAACTCAATCGCTGGGAATTTTATTTTCGGTACGGGCTAATTGATTAGCCATTAACCCCTATATGGGCTAAGGACAACTGAGCGACACCTTAATATACGCATCCACACACACAGTCAGACACACCTAAGAAGGAGGAGGAAAAGAAACGCACTGGCACTGGCACTGGCACTGTGGCACTGGCACTGGCTTAATTAGGCTTAATTATGGGCTCTGGGGCTCCCTTTGTGGCAGTTTTCAACTGCCTTCAACACTTTTGGCGCGGGGAAATTGAATTAGCCGGGTCGGCTGAGACCACAGCAAGGATCTCCATAGGGACTGTGGGACTCCAGTCCGTTAAATGTTGGTGGCAAAAACAAACAACGTGGTCAAAAGGTGCAAGTTTTACACGTAACGATTTGCACGAACCTGAAATCTCAGACTCTCGGTTTGGCAACACAGTCGCTTTTTGGAGCCGGGCCTTCAAGTGTGTGTGTATTTGTGGAAGAGGGGCCAACACACACACTCCACACAACACACAACACACAAACGAGAGCAAATCGTTTTGTTGTCGAGCAAGAGCCAAAAACAAAAAAAGAAAAAGCCTTAAAGTAAGGCCAGAAAAAAAAAGGCGAAAAAATAAGCGGCATGCGGTGTGGGCCCAGGAAACTGGCTCCAAAGTCGGCCTCGCTTGGGGCCATGTCTCTGGTCTTCAGTCTTCCAGTCCTCCAGTCTTGCAGTATTCAGTCTTGAGTCTTGAGTCTCCCAGTCTTCGGCAGGCCAGCCTTTTGGACCCTGGTTTCTGGCCATAACAAGCTGCCAACAACTGGCGCCAAGTGCTCAATAATGTTAACGAGCTATTCAGTTAAGACAACACACACACAAACACACTCACCTAAAAAGACAAAAAAATACAAAAAAACGTTGCAAGACAGACGTGCCTTGGTTCCTGGCAAATAAAAAATAATTTGCAGTCGAAAAAGGCAGACACCCTCTGCTTCAGTCTCTCTCCTCCAAATAGAAACATCCTCCAAGATGACGACGAACGAGCCTTCAGACATCAGTCAGCTTGTTAGGTAAAAGGTAGAGGAGCTGCTGCCCCCCTTTTTCCACCCCCCCTCCTCCCTTACACCCCCTTCGATGGCCCCAGTCAGCCCCCGCCCATGTTTGTTGGTTTTTTATCAAAATGCAGTCGCAGCTGATGATGATCTGTGAACATGAACAAGACGTTCGTTAAATTTGATTCATGAGGCGCTCTCGGCCCGAGACTCCCAACCTCAAGCTTGAAACTGCAAAGCACTGGAAAAAAATATGCAAAACTTGTAGTTTTAAAATATAAAGAGGTTTTAGGGTTATAACTTAAAGAACTTATTCAAAACTCTTGTAAGATTCATAATTCTTTGTAGATTTCTTTCCAAAAATAATCAAAATTTAAAATAAAAAAAAAATTTTAAAAGAAAAACAATTATTGGAATATATTATTTAAAAATATTTTTTAAAAATTCTTGGAGCCATTTTTGATTTATGCCATTTTTTAGATGAATTTTTAAAAAAATTCTTATGAAGTAATAAGCACCAATTATAAACTTTTGTTTGGAATTTTCATAACTTCTTTTAAAATTTATTTAGAACCTTAAAAACCTCTTGCTTTGGTATTTTATTTACCACTTCTCTCACCATTTTTTTTCTCAGTGCATTTGTGACTGAACCTGAACCCGAACAGCGATTGAGTGATTGCTACTTAAAGTTATAATTTTCATATTTATGCCCGAGTGTGTGTGTGTGCTGGGCGAGATCTCTCCCTTGGCCAGAGGCCTCTCCTCCCCGAATACCCCTCGCCCAGCAAATGGGTCCCTTTTTGGGTGGATTGGATGTGGATCGGATCGTGGAGGGACAACGACATCGCATCGCCCGCCCGACTCCATCGCCTGTGTGTGTTCCCCCTTTAATTTTTGTGTTTTTTGTATTTTTTTTTTTCTTTCGCTGGGCCATGTAATTTTCGAGTTTGCACATTGCCACCAACATGGCTAATCAACTTGGCCCGGTAACCAGCTCAGCTCTGGCTCTCTTTGGGCCAATTTGAATTCAAGGCTTGGAGGAGCTACGCTTGGAGTCTTGGAGTTTTTGGTTTTGTGGCCGGGACGGGACGGGCCAGGCCTGGCCTGGTCTGGTCGTCGGGTTGGGATCTCCACGAGTCGAGTCGAAACAATTTGTGGCTTGGCGCCACTTGATAACCTGGCCCCGACGTTTCAGTTTTTGGTCTTAAGTTTGTTTGCTTTTCTGGCCGATTCGCTTGGTCCGAATCTGATAATGATGATGATGATGATTGTGGATTGCGGCTACAGCTACAGCTACGGCTACGGTTGTGGCTTTAACTCCAGCCCCAAAGGTGGGCCCCTGAGAACCAGAAGAGGAACGAAAACCCTGATTAATGTTTTATTTGATTATCCCGGCAAAATGACTGCACACCCCACCACCAGACACTATACACCACACACCATCACAGGAACCATGAACCATCTCTCTAATCCTTCATTTCTCGTTTCAGACAAATGTTTCCGCAAATGAAATTTCGTGTTTCGGGACTGGATGCCAAGGCTAAATACATCTTGCTACTGGACATTGTGGCGGCGGACGATTATCGTTATAAATTTCATAATAGGTAAGTCATTACATACAGGTTGGGTTCTTTAAATAATTAAAAAAAAAAAGTGGAATAAATGTGGGAAAGAGTAAAGAAAAGGTTTTTAAATACAATTGATTATTTGTCGATAAATATCGATGATTAATGCTGATTATTGAAAAGCTTTTCTTTCTTAGTTATCCTTGTTTTGTTTTTAATTCACAAAAAATATGAGAAAACCTTTAAAATCTATACATTTCTAAACTTTTAAAAGCTTTTCTAATTCTTGATGATTTATCGATTACTTTCGATAGAAAAAAAAGGATATTATTAAGTTTCTCTTTCTTTGATATCATTTGGCTTTTAATTAACAAAAAACCTAGAAAGCCTCTATCATATAAAGGTTTCTTCAACATTTTTATTTACATTTTTAATCTCTTGATAATTTATCGATAAAATCGATAGTCAATAAAAGGCAATATTATCCTTGAAAGAAATTATTTATTTTATTTAATTTATAATTAATACTCAAGTACCCTAATAATTTATATTTTTTCAAATTACAGTCGCTGGATGGTGGCTGGGAAAGCGGATCCTGAGATGCCAAAACGCATGTATATCCATCCAGATTCACCCACAACGGGTGAGCAATGGATGCAGAAAGTTGTTTCATTTCACAAATTAAAATTGACCAACAATATTAGTGATAAACATGGATTTGTAAGTACTGTACGTCTTCTTTGTTTACCGCATTAGTTATCTAAGTTACACATCCAATTCAACGATACCAAGGCGTTCATTTATTCCTTTCAGTTTGACTTTGAAAGTATCCCAGTAAGAAAGATTTGAGGAAGTGATTTGTCCCCGAAAGTAGTGGATCGTTTTGGCTTCCAAGCCTCAATAAGTTATCTCGAAGCGTCTGTGACTAACACTCCACTGACTCTGGAGCATCTCTGCCCGAGTAAGATCTTCCGTGAGGAAACCCCAACTCCAATGCTTATCAATGCGAATTTGCATGGCATCCTCCATGCGAGAGAGGCACTTTGAAGTGCCCGTTGGGAGTACTCCACTTGGCCGGCTTATCTAAAACTTCTCACACGCATGGATAAGCCCAGGGAATCGGGAAACGGGGATTTGTGGATCGGAAAAGATCCAAAAAGAGAGGCAAGTGGAGGGCGCCAAGCAAATTGGCGGTGGACTTTTCATTTGAAGGCCGCTGCGCTTCTTTTTCTTTTGACTTTGTAGTTGTGCCGACGCCGATCGCGTAAATTTCATCAACTGCTGGGCAAATTTTCATTTTTTATTGATCCGACTGTCCGGTGGTGGGATGGTGGGTTGGGGGAGCCAGCCAGCCAGCCAGCCCACCCGTTGTGACCATTCTACACCACTCGCTCTCGCTCTGTCTTCTACGATCCGTGGATGGTCATTATGATCTTGGGCGGGCGCCATGTGGTTCCCAGTTTTTTTTTTTTTTCTGTGTCATGTCTGGCTGTGCTCCGCCTCCTTTCGGGGATCGTTTTGCATGCAGAGTCATAAATCGCATTGCGAACAAGGCGGTGCGGATAAGGGCACCCTGTCCGCATGGACCTCCCTCCCGTAAGCGGACAACTCGTGTCCGGCGGTGGTATGGTGTTGTGCGTGGGCCTCCGCCTAAGTAGCCTGTGTTGGCCATTAATTTCGCGTCCAAGTTCAAAAAGCAAAACGCCGACGCTGCGTGTGGTTACGATTGCGATTTTAGCGAGACCCCTCGATATACATTATAGTCTTGGTCTTACGTATTAGGGGGTCTTAATTCCCTCAAATAATAGTCTAATTAAATCAACGTTTTCCAATGAAAATCAATACCTTGCGAGGAGATACTCGGACGATTAAACTTTGGCTGCGTTTCTAGAACATCAACACAACCCAGCTATCCAGGGGGGTTTCCAGCTAGCTATTCTGGCCGACCAGCTGTTGGCTCTCAAAAGCGTTATAATCATATAATCATGTGATATTACAGTCTATAATTTAACACTTTTTGCGGTCGACGGGGTCGGGGTCAGTGGTGCTGGTGGTGTTACTTATTATTATTATTTTTTTGTGTGTGGGCTGCTTTCTCACTGGCTGCGTGTCAAAACATCAGAAAGTCGGAGTTCCCGTAAAGTCCGTAAGACCCATAAACCCGTAAACCTGACCAGACCCCAGACCCCAGACCTCTAGACCCCTAATTGTGGGGCATAAATATACCCACTATATACGTATATGGAGAAGCGATTCATTTGGTTTTGGAAAGTGGAAATGGAAGTGGGAAACGGAAGCAGCTTTTCATACATTGAAATGCACTTAGCGGGCGGCAGAAATCGCGCGCGTTTTTAAACGCCCTTAGCTCGCGCTGCCCTGTTTCGTTTCCTTTTCATTTTTTGTGTGTATGAGTGTGTGTGTGCGTGTTAGTCGGCCATGTTGCGGCCAGCGAGAGATGGAGAGAACGAGAGCCACCCTAATAAGGTATAATGAACCACCGGTCTCAAGGGGGTGGGTCAGAACGGGGTGGAAGGCAGGAAGGTGTCGCCTAATGCGTTTAATTGTTGCAGCTCTACTTGGGACACCCTCTCACCCCAATTAGCCAATGCCCTTCATACCCCTCACTCCATACCTTTCCTAAAGTAAATAATTTTTTTTTTTTTAAATATTTTGTTTAAAAAAGTGTTAAATACCAGTTTTTATTCAAAAATTTAACAGAAAATATGGTTAATTAATATTAAAAGCTCTTAAAAAGAGAAAACTCACTATAGGGACCCAACAACTTCCAATGGTGACCCCGAATTTTCTTTTTTTTCCATATGGTTAGGAATTTCGTAAGGAAATACTTTTGAAAACTAATGAAAGTTTCGGTATTACTATATTTCTAGTTAATTCGTTTTAACTAATATTAGAATAGGTGTGGCTAAGTGAGAGGGAACTTCATTGGGTAAATAAATTACCCTAATGGAAAATGGTAACCCCGAACGTCATAAGAGCTTTTAAATATTTTCCTCTATTTGCAATTGCCAAGAAATTTTAAACTAAACTGATATTAAAATGTAGCAAAAACATACAAACATACTTTAAGGATTAAATATCTTTAGTTCCCATTTAGAGCCACAATTTTATTCGCAATGTTAGAGAAAACTACCGAAAATGGTGATCCCGAAAAGTACCTATTTTCCTCTTTTCAATAGACAAGAAATTTTACAATAATTAGCTATTGAAATAAAGCAAAACATTTAACAAAAATATCTCTAAAGTTAATGTTTTAAATAAAAATTTAGCTGCTCTCTAGCTGCAACGTTATTCAGACCAAAAGTTCGAGAAAAGTGGCAACAAAAAAAAAGGAGGGAAAAAAATAAATATAGAAATTGTTGAGGCAGAGTGGGACAAAATAAGACTCTTGTGCCCTGTCTGGTGCCATTAGTTTCCCCATAGTTCAAAGCATAGTTGGCCATCTTCTGTGCCCGTTCAGGCATGTCCAAGTGGTCTCGAGCATCCCAGAATCCAGAATCCAGAAACCCAGAATCCAGTATCCCCGACATCTAAAAACGAAGCGAAGCGAAAAATACAAAAAGCTGGGAAAAAAAAATACACACATATATAAAGCGGAACGGGTTGACAAACTAAACTCAAGTGGAGTTCCATTTCCGGACATCAAATTAATTGAGGCACACACACAGGGACACACGAGTCCTTTGGCCTGGCATCCTGCAAACAGGATCAACCTCAATCTCGGGCCAGTGTTCTCTGGTGGTTTTCTTGAAACAATTCGCTTAGAAAATCAAAGGCGGCCGGCAAACGCACGTGTGTGTGTGACTGAGTTCAGAGTTTCGTTTTTTTTTTTTTGGGCTATAAGGATATAAGGATAGGTGGATATGGGATATAGTCTATATATATGTATATTTATTCGTGTGTGAGTTGTATGGGATATGGCCAATTTGTCTGCTGCTTAAAGGACTACCTGACCTCTTCCTGGCAGCCTCTTCAATGGTTAAGGTGTTGCCCGAAATACAATTTGAAAGGCTCTTTTGAAGTTGACAGCCCTCCGAGATTCGGGCAGGACCTTGGATGGCTCGTGGAGGGGAAGGTAGTCTGGCAATTGAAGTGGATGGAATGCTCATTGTGCCACCAATTAAGGTCCTGGACAAGGTCCTGGTAGATATGGCAACCAGAACTTCGCATTCACGCATGTTTTTCTCTTAAAGGCTAGTTATAGGATAGTAGTTATGAGAAGTCTTTAATAGAATGGCCAATTTTTAGACGAAAAAAATTTAAAAATAGTTTCCAGCATCTAGGATGTGCAACCCCGAACTTGCAACCAGGCATTGCAACCCTTGGAAGGCCAGGCAGGCTACCAGAGATGATAATGATGATGTTGCAACCACAAAAACGCCCTTCCTACCTTCGCGAGGCCTCCTTTGTGACCATAACTGTCTGATTTCTTATCTAATGCCTAATGCCATCAATTGCGGCTGCTATCTGCCCGTCCTATCGCTCATGTATGGAGGGGGAATCGATCGGAGCAAAGGGTATCAATGGCTGGCTATCAGTTTGCGATCAACTTTCCGGCTAGAAGATTATTAGGCCTGCTGTTTCCCAAGTGAAAGGAGCAACAGCAGTTAGCAGTTAGCAGTTAGCGTTTTTTTTTCGCAACAGCTGGCCAACTGGTGCTAGTGCCGTCTCTATCGGCTGCACTGGAGGCCCTCTCTTTCGCACTGAAAGAGAAAGAGCGGAGAATGGTAACTGGTCTTGGCCATCAATCATTCAACTGATGGAAGCCACACGCAATTTGCCGGAGGGCGTAACTCGGTTGGAGCATGGTAATGGGATTGCGATTGCAAAAAAAAAGTCTCAGAATGCGAATATATATATATATACATATATATATATATAAAAAAAGCAGGTGAACAGATTAAGTTGAAGCTCGTGATTGGAAAATCATCTTCCATAGTTTTTACAAGGATCTGGTTAGACAAGCCACTTGATTGAAACTTAATTATGGGAAAATTCAGTTAATAGAAACTCAGTTTTTAATAGAAAACTCAACAAGGGTAATCCTCTTAACAAAATAACGAAATTGTCTTTATGAAATATAGTATAAACCCAACCCACTGCCAACCCCTTCTTTAAGTGGTTTTAATAACCAAAATTAACCATCCAATCCTTTGTTATCCTGACCAAGTGTTGGCCTCAAATGTGGACAAACCGATGTAGATAAAAACGCAAATTCTTCAGCTAAACCAGACTGCGCCCATCACATTTCAGGAGCCAAAACATTAGCATATTACCAACGGGGGCCTCCAGAAGAGTAACGTGACCAGCGGCACTTAAATCCCAGACTTTGGTCCGAAACCGACTTTTCGGGTGTTTTGTCAACCCGCTTAGGAGCGAACAAAATTTTTGGTGAACATTTAGCCGAGGTCCTTGGTCCTCTCAAGCTGGGCGTTGAAACTAATTAACATATTTAATGTTTTTGGCACGTTTGACTCTCGAACAGGGCTGGGCTCGTGGACGGTCCTTGGCGCCGCCAGGCCTAGTTAAAATCTAATAAAAACCCAAGCATGCCTCATAAATTTCACCGCCAACTCCCTCCCATATTGTATATTTTTATTTTCTGTCGAGAGGGGTTGGTTGAGCGCCTAATGGCGAACGCGCTTTTATGTTAAATTAAGCCCGAGATCCTTCCACAACATCCTCCTCCAACTAACTGGAGAAGTGAAGTA